GGGGCGGCTGTTGGCAGGCACTTACCTGCTTTGCACTTTGTAGTTCAGGCAGCAGAGCAGCACCTGTCTTGCGGCAAATCAACAAGCACATTCAACTAGCAGACATGCAGAGTTGCAAACAGTGCAAAGCAGGCTCAAGACTAAAGAAACAGAGAAAGAGAAAAGACTTAAAAAAAAGTTTAATTAACTTTGAAGTCTGAACTTTGAATTAAGTAATTTACAATTTTACATTCATAATATCTTCATATAACTTGAAAGTTGGAAATTTGCTGTTCAATTCAGAACGTCAGAGTCTTCGGTCTGGCAGCACTGTCAGTGCTCTCTCTCTCTCTCTCTCTCTCTCTCTCTCTCTCTCTCTCTCTCTCTCTCTCTCTCTGTGTCTGTCTGTGCAATGTTCAGCAGCGGCGGGCGGCACGTTGAACCGGCCGCTTTGAAATTGCTCGGGCCTGTGTGAAACCCGCCACCCCMAAAACCTGCAGTGTCTTGTGTCCGGACCTCTAGGCCCTGTCCAGTGGGGTGAAACGACACTGAAAAATCACCCCATTATTTTTCAAGGGCCGTCCAGGACCCGAAAAACGTCCTGGGACGCCCCTTTATTTTTTTTTATTTTTGCCCTGGGGGCCTCCATCTGGACATAAGGACCGGACACCGGACACCGGACATGTTGTTCCGGACTGTCTGGAACAGGGCCATGCTTTTCAGCTTACTTTGCAAGGGATTACAATTGTTACACCATTGCAGCTGGCTCAAGGGGATGATAAAAAACATCCAATCAGAGGCAATCAGCTAATTGAGTCAATCATTTAACAATCCAATCATCCAATCAAACAATTGGCCAATCATCCATCCGTCATATCATCCAAGCATCCAATCATATCCAAATTGGATAAGTCCTCCAGCAGTATAATCATTCAATAATCCGAACTGGATAAGTCACCCAACGACAAAATGAACCAATCATCCAATCATCAAATGATGCTAGCATCCACTCATCCACATTGGATAAGTCATCCGAATTGGATAAGTCTTCCAACAAGACAATCAACCAATCATCCACTCATCCAATCATCCAATCATCCACTTATCCAATCATCCAATCATCCAATTGGATAAGTCATTCAATCACCCAAATTGGATAAGTGATCCAATCATCCAAATTGGATAAGTCATCCAGCAAGACAAGAGACAATCATCCAAATCTCCAATCGCCCAATCATCCAATCATCCAATCACTCTATCATCCAAATTGGATAAACGATCCACAGTGGATAAAGTTATCCAATCATTCAATCATCTAATAATCTAATCATCATCTAATCATCCAATCATCCAATCATTCAATCATTCAATCATTCAATCATCTAATCATCTAATCATCTGCTCATCTGATCATCCAATCATTCAATCATCTAATGATTTCTAATCATCTAATTATCTGATCATCTAATCATCCAATCATCAAATTGCTCAATCGTCCAAATTGGATAAGCCATTGAACAAATCCAATCATCCAATTATCAATCGTCAAAGATTCATTCAAGAAACCATCCAAATTGGATAAGTCGTCCAATCATCCAATCACCCAATCATCCAATCGTCCAATGATGACTTAACGCATATACATTCACCAACCTGGAATGAAGATGGCTGTCTGTGCCTATTCTCAGATGCAACCATGGCATCCTGTGACTTCCTTTATGTGCTCAACAGCCTGCTGCAGCAGCTGTTCGTACTTGACAGCAAAGTCCATGCTGCCTGGTGCTGCGGTGGGCAACAGAAAATCAAGAGCTGAGCGCGGCTTCCAACCAAGATGCTGCTGGTTGGGAGTCATGCCGATAGTGTTGTGCACAGCATTGCTGTTGTTGTTTTTTTTTTTTTTTTTGGGGGGGGGGCAATGAGAGGTAACTTCCCATCGCAGTCATCCTGGCTTAGCTTGATATAGTGCCTTAGCAAGTGCTGTGCAGTAAACCGCGTTCAGCAGCGGCCTGGGCGCTGTAACCCAAGCCCAGGCCCAGCGAGCAGTGCGACCACGCGCTGCTCGGCCTCAGGCC